CGTTACCCTTCTGAGGACCAGATCGCCTATTCGAAATTCTCGCGCCTTGACCCTTTTGTTGTATAGTTGGGAAATCTTCTTCTGATACTTAGTTATCCTCAAGGCGGCTGCCTCCCTTCTTTCTTCCACTAGATCCAAATCCAATCCTAGTTGACGGTCATTCCCCTATTTGTCGAAAGCTTGGGTCCTTATGGTCGGGAGCCCTACTTCGAGGGGTATGATTGCCTCCATTCCGTATGCTAGGGAGTATGGGGTTTCCCCTGTCGAGGACCGAGGGGTGATCTTGTACACCCACAAAATGTTTAATAGTTCTTCCGCCCATTTTCCCTTGGCTTTCTCCAACCTCTTCTTGATCCCATTGATAATTATCTTGTTGGAGGCCTCTGCCTGCCCGTTGGCTTGAGGATAGGCAGGGGTGGAGTAGAAATTACGGATCCCGAGTTGCTCACAGAAAGACTTGAAACGCCCGCCGGTGAATTGAGTCCCGTTATCCGACACCAGTGCCCGGGGAATCCCAAACCTGATGATTATGTTCTCCCAGACGAACTTTTTGGCATCTATGTCGCGGATATGAGTCAACGGCTCCGCCTCTACCCACTTAGTGAAGTAATCTGTGGCCACAATGAGGAACTTCCTATTTTCCAAAGCCTTAGGCAAGGGTCCAACCAAATCGAGCCCCCACTGGGCGAATGGCCAAGGGCTGGTCAGGGGGTGTAAGTCCCCTGCGGGTTGCCTGATTGCAGGGGAGAACTTCTGACACTGGTCGCATTTTTGGACGTATGCGCGCGCATCCCTTTGCATTTGCGGCCACCAATATCCCTGAGACATGATGCGGTGTGCCATTGATCGCCCCCCGGAGTGCCCCCCGCATATTCCTCATGTACCTCATAGAGGAGGTCTTGTACTTGGTCTTCTTGGACGCATAGCAAGTAAGGCCCTGAGAAAGACCTCTGATACAGTTTCTGATCCGGAGAGACCCAAAATCTTGGAGCTTTGAGTTTTATCTTCCTTGCTTCCTTTGAACACTCCGGGAGATCTCCTGTTGTTAGGAACCTGAGAAAGGGATCAATCCAACTGGGCGGCTTGTGTGCGTCCTGGATGACCATCGCCTCGGGAGCATGGTCTATGCAGGATGTGGGAAGGTATTCAATGGTGATACTGCGCGACTGGGAGGAGTCCACCGCCGAGGCTAGACAGGCCAGGGCGTCGACATGTGTGTTCTTGTTTCGCGATACTTGTTTGATTTCAATCCGGTCGAACCTTCGGATTACAGTCGTCGCCTGGTGATGGTAGGCCTTCATCCTGGGGTCCCTCGTTTCAAACTCTCCGTTGACTTGATGTACCACTAGCATAGAATCACAATGCACGATTAAATCGATAACTCCAGTCGTCTCAGCTAACCGAAGTCCTGCGATGAGGGCCTCGTATTCAGCTTCATTATTCGAAGCCTTGAATCCCAGCCGAACGGCCTGCTCCGCAATAATCCCATCTGGAGAGGTCAGCAAGACACCGATTCCGGACCCCTTACTATTTGACGAACCGTCCACNCCATCTGGAGAGGTCAACAAGATACCGATTCCGGACCCCTTACTATTTGACGAACCGTCCACACACAAAATCCAGGGCGATCCTTCACAATTGGTTGGAGACGCTANACCCCTTACTATTTGACGAACCGTCCACACACAAAAGCCATGGCGATCCTTCACAATTCGTTGGAGACGCTAAGTCGGGAGGAGGCGGTCCTTCTAAACCGGGATGCTCCCCCGAAAACTCAGCTATGAAGTCTGTCAATATTTGACCTTTTATCGCAGTTCGGGGTTTGAAATGAATGTCGTGCTCCCCCAACTCTACTACCCACTTGGAAATCCTTCCGGAGAGTTCCGCTTTCCTCAAGATTGCTTTCAAGGGCTGATCGGTAAGGACAGTGATTTGATGCGCCTGGAAATAATGCCGCAGTTTCCTTACAGTGGTGACCAGGGATAGAGCCAGTTTCTCTAGGGGTAGATATCTTGTCTCTGCGTCCAGGAGCGCCTTGCTTATATAATAAATCGGCTTCTGGCGGTGCTCATGCTCACGGATAAGTACCCCGCTTACCGCAAACTCAGATACTGCCAGGTACAAGAACAACATCTCCCCCTGGATGGGGACGGACAAGGTTGGAAGAGTCCTTAGGTATTCCTTGATTCTAGCTAGGGCATCCTCGTACCCCTGGCTCCACATATTCTTCCCAGCACTCTTGATTGCTCCGAAAAAGGGTTTGCATTTGTCCGGGAGCATGAGACGAAACGGTTAAGTGCAGCAAGCATCCCTGTGAGTTTCTAGACTTCTCGGACAGTGCGGGGGCTCCGGATGTCCAGGATCGCTTGAATCTGATCTGGGTTGGCTTCGATTCCTCGTTAACTAACCAGGTATCCGAGGAATTTACCTGATTCCACTCCGAAAACGCACTTCGCTGCATTCAGCTTCAGCCCATACTCCTTNTTTTTTCATAATCTCTTCCGGTGCTCGCCCCTTCTCCTGGCTGAACGCCCCGGCTCGAACGGCTGAATAAAAACAGTTTTTCGCGGACGCTTGGTCCCCCCGGATCTCCATGATACCTTCTGGCGTGGCGAATTTTAATTTCTGGTGGAAAGTGGAGTGTACTGCTCCCAACGCATGCAGCCATGTTCGCCCCATAATCACGTTATAGGGAGAGTCCGTATCGTTCACAACAAGATGATAAAGGGACCTGTGACAACTGACAATGTGATTTTTCCCACGGGCAGAGCGAATGAGCCGTTGAACCCGATGAGGGGTGTCCTGACTTTGGTGAGGTCTTTGTGGCCAAGACCCATCCGTTTCAAAGTTTCGAAGTACATCACCTCTGAGGAGCTTGCNTCACTTTGTAACAGTAAACTCCCTTCGGAGTGATAAACGCCGTCTTTTCTTGATCCCGGGCATAGAGAGAGATCTGATGATATCCTGCTCGGGCATCCAGGAAGTCCATTTGTTCATATCCGGCTGTGGCATCTACCAGCTGGTTCACCTTTGGCAGGGGGTAGTCATCCTTGGG